TGGAAGCGCAGAAGCCTTCAAAGACCGGTAAGGAGGGCGGGCGGGCGGGTGGGCCCTTCGCCGTTCCCGGAAGTTACTTATGGGGACCGCCGCGAACCGGTTGAAACCCACCCCTGTGTATGCCCATGTAATCCTCCTTTTACTTTGCCTGGATTCCCACATTGTCCTAAACCATTATGTAATCTGCTTGGCTTTGGCTCAGCAAGAAGTGAGAAGCAGCCATTGCAACATAATCTGGAAGGTTCCCAGAGGTTGCTATTTCATATTCAACAAGTTAAATGAAAAAGTTTGGTTAAAAGTACGGTATTTAACATGGCGCCATTCGGGTGTTCATTATTCAAGTATTTTGATTCAACTTGCTCAGACAAATCTTAAATATGATGTTCTTGAGGATGAGCTAACAGACAGGTTGTCCTCAACAGGAGGGATTAATATTAGAAATCTCCTCCACATTTAAAACAAACAAGTAACCAAAGAAGTCCAAACTGACTTCTACTTAGAAGTACTTTTGTTGAACTGAGCTGTTTATATTTCTTAAAATGCACTGATTTTGTTTTCTTACTGCTGTTCAAGCATTTGGATTCAAGAGTGCAAAGGTACCTCAGAATATTTGTGAGACAATTTGCAATTCCTTAAATCGCATGTGCTTTTTCCCAGGATCACAATGTAGCTCCACAATTCCAGAATGGCGCAGTGATCACACCATGTAGTCACACAATTCCAGGGGAAAGTGGAGCTCTTTAAGGACTTGCCCTTAAAGAGCTGCTTAAAGGTGTTGTCTGAACACTCCCTCACACTCTGAGGCACCTTTCCTCCCTCCAATTAAAAGCTCTGGGTTGTTTTTTTTCTGGATATGCAAATGGATATTTGGTTAATTGTGGGCTTTCCTTGCTCTCCTAGGTTGCCTTCTTTCTTTACAACGGTGTGGTCCTGGATAGGTTTGTGCTGCAAGTAACTCATCCCTTCTATCTGAAGAATTCATTATTATACCATCCTCAACTCCGTGCCCAGGCCTGGAGGTACCTCACCTACATCTTCATGCATGCAGGGTGAGTGTTGCAGAAATGTCAATGTCTCCATTGTGACATAGTATTAGGGCAGGGGTGTCAATCTCACATCATCACAGAGGAATCCTGTGACGTATCGGGACTTTCCACCCTTCATTAAACAAGGCATGGGCGTGGCCAGCCTGTGACACATCCAGCCTGCCGGCCGGGAGTTTAACAACCCAGTATTAGGGGAAGAGGGTAAGGGAGACCTTGCAGTTGGCAGTCCTGGGCAACCCTCAGGATCTAGTATCACGGCATGGCCCACTGTTCCTCACCTCTTTAAAATTAACTTTCCATCGATAAAAAGGAATTTTTATTTTTATCTAATTTGCAGTTTATTGTTCTGGTAGAACCTGACTTACAACCATTCATTTAGTGACGAACGTTACAACAGTACTGGTGACTTATGACCTTTTTTCACATTTATGACCATTGCACCATCCCCATGATCACATGATCAAAATTCGGATGCTTGGTTCTTGCTAATATTTATAATGGTTGCAGTGTCCTCGGTGGTCACGTGATAATCTTTTACAATCTTCTGACAAGCAAAATCAATGGGAAAGCCCGATTCACTTAACAACTGTGTTTCTTAACAACTGCAGTGATTCACCTAGCAGCTGTGGCAAGAAAGGTTGTAAAACAGGGAAAAATTTACTTAAACAACTTTCTTGCATAGCAATAGAAATTTTGGGCTCAGTTGAAGGTCATAAGTCGAGGATTACTTGTATTCCTTTGCTCTTTCTGTCACTCATCTTACATCATCTATTTAATTTGTGTCCCTTTGCCTTTTCTGAAATCTCCCTGTTCATGTAGCTTTTTTCTCTTTGTGTACAGCTCTAAGTTTTCTTGGTAAGATCTTAAGAACAAATTCACTTTCCATGGCAAATTAGTGCAATGGTTTGATAATTTCTACATTCTCTTGCATCTCTCTACTTTGGCGTCAATGTATATACCAAACTTTTTCACACCATCTGTTCCACATTTGTGTTAACAAAACTATTAGTCCTTTAAACACCTCTTCTCTATAGTTTTAAGCAGTTCAGTGGGGATATCATCCAATGGTGGGTTGCCAAATGTTTTACTACCGGCTTGGGCACTCCCCGGCGCATTCCCAGGCATGCTCGTACATGCGCAGAAGCATCCGAGTGGGTGGGCAGAGCCTCCCACTGCCGCTACTACCGGTTCGCCCGATCTGGGCCAAACCGAGAGCAACTCACCTCTGGTGTCATCTGTGTTTGGTGCCTTCCTTGTTTCACAATGGTTTATTGTCTGTCTCATTCCAATTTTTAATGGGCTCCATTTCTGAATGTAATCATACTGTCGCCTCCAGATCTACTGGTGGAAGGCTTCTCAGCTGGTGGATCTCATCATCTACCATTCACATTCCATACAATTATATAAGCAACAATAGAAAAATAGTTTGCTCTTGCCTTTTTCAATTTGATCTTCTGTTAGGTACAGGTAGTCCTCAACTCACAATAGTTCATTGACCATTTGATATTACAAGAGCGCTGAAAAAAGTGAGTTATGGCCAGTGGTGGGATTCAGCCAATTTGCACCACTTCGGGAGAACCGGTTGTTAACTTTCTGAGCAGTTTGGCGAACTGGTTGTTAGAAGAAATCATTAGGACAGAGAACCGGTTGTT